TTAAATTTCACAACTGTTATAATTAAATTACACAGCTATGCTAAAATATGGAAGTCCATAGCATGTGATCAATAAATGCAGTTTTAACTTTATTATATGTTGTTTATGTATTTTAGTTATGGTTTTCATGTTTTAATTTATTATTAAGGCATTTAATTGTGTTATTTTTATTTTAAATTATGTATATTTGCTATTTCAAGTTTATAGAAATGGGTATTGTGTAGGATCTGGGAATAGATTAATTCACTTTCTAATATTTCTTATGGGAAAAATCGATTCAAACTTTGAATGACTTCCTAGAATGAATTAAATTTAAAGTATGAGGTGACTGTATTTTTCATTCCAAATTAGTAAAGATATTTGATATTTCTGTCCAAAAATCACCTGTTGTTTAATTAAATATGTGCCAGAAAAACAACACGTGTTTTTTGGGCAGATATACTTCCCAACTTCAAGTCCAGATTCCTTACTGCATACAGTTATGCTCTATGTATTTTTTACATACAGTTATGTTGTTCTACAAACAAAAGTCTCATGATGCACGAAAAGTAAGGAACCTGGGCCTGAGGTTGGGCAGTGATGTGGAATGAAAACATTTGTCATTCAATTAAATAATTGTGTTGGAGGAATAAAGTAGTCTTATTAATTAATGTTGAAAAACATTAACTTCAGGTATTACAAATTTTTCTAAGCTGAATATATATAACTGTTACTTGAAGAAATTTGCAGAACCTAAAGACAACTTTCTCATAATCTTTCTTGGACATTTTTCATCTTGGTATTGCTGAATTTTTGTTATCAACAATGAAAGTTAATTCATTAACAATGTGCTTTATAATTATTTATTATATTATAGTGTAAAAATATATATTTTTTAATTTATTAAAATATATCAAAGCAATTATACAGTTAGCATATATAAATTTGTTAAATAGAATTATTTCAGATCACAAAATTAATTTTTTCAGTAATTTACTATCGAATAAATTAAAATTGCAAACACAGATTTGTTAAATGGAATTATTTAAAATAACAAAATTAATTTTTTCAGTATGCCATCTTATTTAGCATTGTTATAAACATTTTTATAAAGTATATATTGCATTCAATTGATTTACAAAGTGAAAATCCTTGGGAGAATAAAGCAGTTTATTTATTATATTGTGAATTATTAATGGGTGAGTTTTCTTACATTTTATATTATGCTTTAGAATTTATATTTATTATGTATGAATTATTTATTATTAATTCTTAACAAATAATGATAGTATTTAGTCTAATTAATCTAGAAATTACCACTTTTTATATCATTTATTTGAATATAATTTTTCTTTTTGAATATATACACATAAAAAGGTTTAAGAATTAATAAAACTTCTTAATTTAAATGTTTATTATTCATTCTGATCATTAAAAATTTTTTCAAATAAAACTAGATATATTATACTTTAGATACCAATTATTTTATATTAAATAATCATGTTTACATTAGCTGGACAGATTGAGTATTTTTTTCATAAACCATGTATAAATTATCTTTTAATATACACAGTAGAAATTCAACTCTTTAATCAGTCTGAAAATGATACAGTGCAGATGATACTGTGTTAAGATTGATTAAAAACCTACAGACATTAATGAACACATTATTGCATAAATTCAACATTTACAATGATTCATGTGCAGGTAATATTTACTTTATAAACATATGTTTTATACAGAGGATTTGCAAAAGCTACACATATTCTGGGAAGTTGTCACAAAGACATAAAGGTTTTACAAAGACAGGTTTTGTAAGGTTTTGTAAAATCTTACAAAAAATCCTTACGGATTGAATTTTGTCAAAACCTGTAAACATGAGGTAATGCTTTCCAAGTCTGATCCTGAAAGATATTTCTGCCAACTTGTTTATGCCTTGTTAGCCCTGTGGGAATTGTGAAGTCAACCACCTTCGAATACTCATAAAGCCTCAGAAGCCAATTTTTGTTCCAAAATTGTGAAATTATTGGCATCACGTCAGAAACTACAATATCATCTCTTATTTCTGCATTTTGTCTTCTTTCTAACAATGAAAAATACTTATGGATTGATAAAAATGTGTATTTTTATGCTTATTTTATTGTAATTTGATCCAATAAAGCAATAAAATAAAAATATAAAATTTTACTTTGCTATAAAATATCTCGTGCCACAGATTGACATCAGATTTATTTATAGTTGGAGAAGACTAGGCTGTTTTTCAAGATTTGAATAGTAAAACTTTATTACAGTCAAACCTTGGGTTATGAATGTCCCTGTTTATGAACAAAATTTTGAATACCATATTTGTTCTGATTGTCATACAATAATTTGGTTTCCAAACAAGCTGCTCAGCAGAGCCGGCCACTGATGATCAACCTCCTATACTTCCTACATTAACCTATCCGAAGTTGAAATTTTTATCTGTTTCCTGTGATGCCATGTTTAATTTTTGTCAATGTTAAGCCTAAAAAATTTTTTAAAAAATAATAGTGTTTATTGTGTCATTAAAAATTATTTTTTATGTTGCACAAACAAAATATTATATTGAAAAATATAGAAACAAAAAAAATTATATTTTAAAAGTTTGTTTTAATATAAAAATTGTGACACATAGCGACATCTAGTAACCAAAACATTTTGATGTAGACATGAAAATATTTGGGATTGTCCACGCAGGTCAATGAGGTCCACACAAATATTTTCGGGAACAATGCAGGACAGGTTAAAGAAAGTAGATGGTCTGACCAATCAACAACTATCAATTCAGTAGTGGTGTTGAGATTTGTTTTGCATCATTAGATGTTGCAACATGAACCATTGATGATGTTATTCAAATTAGATTTCACTGCGCATGAGGGTAATATACTACTACTGGTTTTTGGTATGCATCACAATCAAAAGTTAGGAACATAGAAATTTTTTTCAGATATATAACAAAATTTTGAATATAAAAAATGGTCAAAAATATGCACTGTGGCATCTCAGGTGTCATACAATCCTAGAAGATTAAGCATATAAATTACTATTGACAGAATTCAACATGATACACAAGATGCTATCACAAAAAAAGAATTATTTTAACAGAAAAAAAATATATTTCTTGAGACTATACATACAATATGAGTCAATTTCTTTCGGTCCCTTCACACTGTTGTGGTAATAACAATTCCATGGCAGAGTCGACCTTTTATTGTAGGCTACTCATTCGCCATACAATACAAAAAAGTTAAAATAGTCCTCTAGTGGTGGCACAAAGATTATTAATTTTATCTTTGTGCCACTGCTAGAGGACTATTTTAACTTTTTTGCATTGTATGGCGGACAAGTAGCCTACAATAAAAGGTCAACTTATTACCTCAACAGAGTGTGAAGGGACCGAAAGAAATTGACTCATATTGTATGTATAGTCTCGAGAAATATATTTTTTTTCTGTTGAAGTAAAATTGTCCCAACAATTTTTTAAAATGAATTATTTTTATTGATTTATTTTGTTACTGCATATTACAAAAAATAATAATAAATTTTATTTTATAACCACAAAAATATCTGTAACAAAATGAATGAAGAAAAATGACTAATTTGTAATTCCATAGTTGAATTGTGAGTGGATTAATGAAATCCAAACAGAAGATGGTATTATGAGAGGAATAACAGTAAAACTNTAAATTCTTTATAGTTATATTTAAGAATGAATTATAACACTGTGTGATATATAGTTTATGCTTATATAGAACTTCATTTGTACCATTAAATGTAAAAAATAAAGATTAACTTAAATAGTTCTTTTAAGTGACTTACGATGGTAGAAAATATGATAATATAAAAATGTTTACACAAATAAAAATTTTTTATTTAAGGTAATTAATTAGTTAATCTCTCTAAGCACAAAATAATCATTTCTTAAATGTTTATAAATGCAATATCCAATTATTAAAGTTTTTCAATAATTTTAATTACCTTAAATTTTAATTTTATTAATGCCAAATGATTGCTGGATTACATTGGGCTACATTATAATGCTACTAAATGTAAAAATAAAGATTAACTATTTTAATTTTTACATTGTATGAAGTTTTAAATTTCTTCTTCATTATTATTATTATTGGAATATAATTTTAGATTTGGGAGATTGAATTTGAGCAATTTATTATGGCAAAAATGAAAACAATGACATGTTTTCATTTATGACATTTGTGATCTTTTTTTAATATTGTTGATTTTTAATTTTAATTCATTTTTTTATTATTTTTAATTTATGTTGTTTAATTTTAAAATATTTTTTAGGTGATATATCTTCAAGCTTTTGTATTGGTTTTACTGATGGGAAAACTAATGAGGAAAGTGTTTTTTGGTCAGTTGAGAGCTGCGGAAATGGAGGTTAGATTGTTGTTTTAATATTTGTAAAGCATAAACATAAATTTATACTTTATCTTTATGAATTCAGAACCTTACTTTAGTCAATACTGTTTTCGTAGTATTGCATATGTCATATCTATGTTTAGTGTGGGTATGCATCAAACTTAGCAGCAAACAGATCTTTTCGTTTTAAATGTTTGAAAGTTAGAATCAGTTGCACATTAGATTAAAATAAATATGGTAAACTAGGGGAAAAATTATTCAAATCTCGCAGAATTGTTTTATATTGTATAATAGACATGAATAAATAATTAAAACTTATTAAAATATGAAATGAACTGTAACTATTGATAATAAATGTGTATGCATACTCTATATCTAAAAAGTTAAAGTCCCAATAAACATAGGTTATAAACTTATAAGAAAGAAGTTCAAGCCTGTTTTATTTTCTTATATCAAAGATGATAAAAGTGATTGCCTATGGTCCATTAAAAAAACATTCAATTTTTTAAGGACCTTTGAGGTGTTACAATTTTAAATGGTCTTCACACTGTTATGTAGATCTTTGATACATTTGAATTTACAGTATTGTCTGGCTTAGAATGGTGCTGACTTTACATATCTTCCTTAGGCATGAAAATAAAATAAGCTCTAATTCCTTCCCTGTGGGTTTTATGACTTGTTTATTAGGACTTTTAGGTTTAGATATAGATTGTGTGTGCGTGTTTATTACTAACAGATCTGTCTCAGATAATTAAATTATTTGTATAGGGTAAACTCTGTACAGATAATTTAAATATCTGAGATTGATGTGCTACTTACAATTCATTATGTGAACAATTAAAAGAAATACTTATAATAATGTAAGAAAATAAATTTATCTTTCTATATACAGGATGATTCAAATTAAAGTTACCTTATTCAGCACCTAATGCAGAGAGTGGGTGAAATGTGAAACTTTGTTAAGTTCGATTTGTACATGTTTCAGACTGTGAGGAAGAGATTTATGACAAAAAAGTTTAAAAATTGCCTCTGATGATACTAATCACATGCAGTCTGTCAGTTAAATTTACAAAAAACTTTGTACTCAACTATAATTAGCTTATTCAGGCATAGACACTTATAAGAATTTAGTTTAGTTTAAAAGTTAATGAATTTTTTTAATGATTAAAATGTTATTTTTAATTATTAATTGAATTATTTTTTGACTATTTCTTTGTTTTTTCAGCATCTTATAGAAAGATCATGGTATGCAGTTACTGAAACATGTTTAGCTTTTACTGTGTTCCGAGACGATTTCAGTCCGAAATTTGTAGCATTGTTTACTCTGCTACTATTTTTAAAATGTTTTCATTGGTTGGCCGAAGATCGAGTTGATTATGTAAGTAAAAGATTTTTCATAGTGACGTAAAAGTTAATTTTTTTTAATGGACACTATAATTAGTAATGTAAACTTGCATCATTTGAACATAATTATCATAAATCATTAATTCATTAAAATTAAAATGTCTATGTTAA